AACAAAATTGAATCTACACTACCTGAGGATGTTTCCCCATAAGTTTCATCTTTCCTGGCACAGTGGTTCTTGAGAAGAAGATTTTTAAAATATGCCACCAAATTTTCATTAATTCCCAATTATCTCCCCTTGAATGAGGGCGTGGCCCTTCATTTGAACAAACTTGAATCCCCTTCCCCCAAGGATACTTTGTACCAAGTTTGGTTGAAATTGGCCCAGCGGTTCTTGAGAAGAAGTCGAAAATGTGAAAAGTTTACAGACAGACAGACAGACGGACAGACGGACGCCAGACAAAATGTGATCAGAAAAGCTCACTTGAGCCTTCGGCTCAGGTGAGCTAAAAATGAGCCATGGCTCTGAATTTTAGCCAATCGATCAGGAGAGGAAAAACATTTTTTTAAAAAAAGATATATCGGTTATAATTCATTGATATTTAAAGTGAATCATAATTGATTTTAATTGTATTTGACTTCTTTTTTAATTTTTATTCTTTGACTATTAGGAAGATGAAATAATGAATGTCAATATAGAAATTACTAGTAATGATTATTGAATAATATTATATAATTTCATATCTGAATTATTTCAGTTTCTTTCATTATGTGCACTTTTATAAATATCACTTCCTTGTTTTTAACTTTTTCCCAATATAAATGGCACAATGTATAACAAATGTTATATACATGAAATGTTCATGTAAATTATACGGGACTAAAATAAATGATCGGGCGTGGTATACGGTTTATTATGAACCCGATACAAAACCGAGTAATTCATAGTACGAGTTGTTGTTATGCAAATAGCCCTCTTACTCCGCGCAGTGCACGTTCGTTGTTGTTTTCTCTCTTTGTTTTAATTGTTTATTTTCTCATTTTTCGTAACCTCTGTTGATTCAAAGTTAAAACAACATGTATGTGTGAGATTTTGTGTTATTAGCAGTTTAAAATCAACAATGGATATCGCCAACTTGTCAATGTACATAAGCACTATTTTTAATAACGTGTTAAGAATCAATATTGTTGAGTCCTTTGCCGCCGCAGTGTAGATAAGAAAGAATTGCCAGGTGATCGCAATGAGGCTGCATCGAAAACGATGCGCCTCAAAAATACCTCCCTCATCTACTTTATTGCCAATAAAATGCCGCCCTCCCGCATCTGTTTTGGAGAAAATTGGCCTGAGAACCAGAGAATTAAATTTAGATAGCCTAATAACGACAAATATTGATTACTTCTGAAAACTGACAAAAATTGACCCCTGCTACTACCTCACAGAAAAATATTCTAGGAAAAAAGTGCATATTTATGATCAGCCAAAATATGGTAAATTAAAATTTATACGAGGGAATGCCAAATGAAAACAACAGAGATTACTTTCTGAAAATATGGTACACAATGATTTAAACTGAGCTCAACACATGCAAACTCTCTATTTTGTTAGGCCTAGATAATTAACTTGTGAGTTTCTGGTCCCCATAGACCCTAGAATATTGAAGTGGACCTTGAAATTTTTTTCTGCCAGTACCTTTCCTGCAGGAGTAAACAGTTTTACTATAAGAAATCCTAACCTGAATCACTTCCCTGTTTGAAAAAATTCATTCATATGCACATTAATCAGAAATATTTTGAAAGTGATTTCTCTGGGGGAAAATTGCAGCATGCTTGACAATAAAATGTTTAAATGTTTCCCTTCCTACCTACCCTATATTTTCTCTGGAGATAGAAAACACATAATTGGAATAGAAAACACATAATTCATTTATCTTGGCCTTAGGCCATTCAAAGTTAATTCCTTGGTTCTCTGGCCTTTTTTTCAAGGAAATATGATGAGGGAAGGGGGAGGTTTATTTCACTTATTACTGCCCCCATAACATATTGAGGCAGCTTTTTACATTGTACAAAGTTAAACCTCAAAAATGATGAGCAAGATGATTTGTTGTTTTTATTTAATTCATTAAGCAATAAAAAGGGTCAATGAGGCACCCTTGGAAGAGATGAGGGAAGGCCTGAGAACCAAGAAATTAAATTTCTATGGCCTAATGTAAAATTTTCAATGTAAACAATGCAGTCTGTTTCTTTCGTTTAAGTTTATGTAAAATTTGATAAATTTTGACACAATGTAGACATACCTTCTTTGTCTTGAATCTTGGCTTTTACATTTTCGATAGTGTCACTGGGCTCAACCTGTCAATCAAGAGAAAACACAGTTTTAATCTCCTTTACATTGCATTGCCTCCAAATAAGCTCTTATTTTTCAGTTTTGCAGGATGTCTCTTTTAAGCTCACTTAAAATTGTGTGTAAACAGGTAAAATTGAATGTTTTAAATCATAAGGCCAAGCTTAAAAAAATCTTTGTTTGCAGTTGGCGACCTATAATTTTTAGACTGGGTAGGTAGGTAGGCATTTTTTTTTTTTTTTTACAAAAAAAAATTGTTTACAGATTTTTGTTAGATAACAGATAATAAGCCTATTAAAATTGAATGCTCTTGTTAAAAACCACTGATTGATAAAAATCAAAGTCAAAATTTGAAAATGAAACAGTTTAAATTTTCTGAAAAATAGAAAAAAAGAAAATATTAAAGAATGGCTGGAAAAAAATTTGGGTCGGGTGCATTTTCAGTGGGTCTGTAGGCAACTGCAAACAAATTTTTATTTTAGGCCTAATTCAAAATGTTTTCGCTAAATGGACTAAAATTTCTTAATCAAAAATAAGAACATTAATAGACAGGACTAAGTTCCTTACCTCTAGGGTAATTGTTTTACCCGTTAGGGTCTTGACAAAGATCTGCATTTTTAACTCATGCAGCGCTGTAAATAGAAAAAACAATTCAGCATGGGGACTGAAAATAGCTTCCTTTTGATGCAGAAAAAAAATAAGAAAATGGCTCAGGACTTATAACCATATTTGAATCAGTATTTTCATAAGGTGTCCTAATTGCTCATCATTGCCATAATTTGTTGTTCGTGTTAAATGTTCCTTTAAATGGGAAGATATAGAATTTGAAGTTAACAATTGTATCTCGTTCATGCATCTCTGTAAACTTTTTAAATATAACTAAAAGTGGGTGAAAGTGAAAGCACATTCGAAGTTAGCCGAAGATTGCCGAATGATCTAATTCCGTATTCGAATGTAAAACGCCGAGGTTACTTTCGCTTTCTGAATCAAACCAACTGTCCTAACGAGCACACTTGGATTAATTTTTGGTAATGTGTATTGCAGAGGCTCCAAAAACAAATAAGGTTTTAGAAGAATCATTTCTTAAAGAAAACTTGAGATATACAACTTTTCACCTATAACAAAACAGAGGTTGAAGCGTAGGGCTGTATCAATATATCGATATATCAATACGTATCGATATTCAAGAAAATTTACCTATCTCAAAATAACTTCCAATACGTATTTCAATGTAACTTTTTCAAAATTTTATTTTTTATTTAAGAGAGAAAAAAATCACCAAGATTATATTTCACTTTTTTGAGGCTTAAAACTGTTCAACAATTTTATAATTTATAAGGAAATAACACAGTTTTACAATTATTACAAAATACAAAGAGAAATTTATTTGAACATGTTGACTTTACTGTCATTAAAAGTTTTAATTTGAGGTGTTATTTGTAAAGACAATGAGACAAGAACTTTAAAATGGGAAATAAAACACTCAATTGTAATGACATTTATGCATTAAAATGATTCATAAGCCTTTTCTGATAGACTTGTTTTAGTATCCAATAAATCGCATATCGCTTTAAAAAATATACATTTCTTCAAAATTTTTTCCAATTGTTATCAGATATTCAAGCGAAAATGATCACTGCATCAAATGGCGTCCTCGCTTGTGTAGTTTTATAGTATATCATTTTTTTTTAATAAATATTTTTTACACGCCAGGAGCAAGAATCAAAATCTACTCTGGTTGGAGATGACAAACTTCCCTTTCTTGGTTAGGAGTGAAACGATACGCCTCCTTCACGGTTCGATACGTATCAAAAAATTTGGTCTCGGTTCGGTTATTTTCAATACGATACATTTTGATAGAAGGAAACATCAATGTTGTTTTATGCTACCTTTTAACTTAATCTAGTAAAATAATTTATGTGCAAAATGGATAGAATGTATCAATTTAATTGATTTGACTGTTAAAAATTATTTTACAAACTTCAAGTCCACACAAACTTACGTTTCTGAACTAATTATACAGAAAAGCATGTTTATACCTTATGCCAAACCCGACTGAATGACGATCCCGACCGTAAAAACGAACCGAAAGTGGAGATTTTGTACCGTGTATCGAACCGAGAAAAAATACCGCGGTGAACCGATACCGCGGTGAACCGTTTCACTCCTATTCTTGGTAATTGCTCTGTTTCTAATGTCTACCATAAAACAAATCACCTATCAGAAGCTGAGCCTATCTTACAGAAAACTTGGAGATATACAACTTTTCACCTGCTGAACAAGAACTTAGAACTGTGGTGGAAAGGGGGGGGGGGGATATTTCAGTTCGTTTTTTCTTCCAAACCCAACAGAGGTACCATTTAAATTAAATTCTTATCATTACAAACGTTGGCAAAATACATATTCAAGTAAACTAAACAGTCAATCGGGTTAATAAATTTTATGCCAATATTTTAACATTGAAAGTATTTAACATTAATTTAATTACAGACTAAATTTTCAATATCTCGTCATTCCAAAATGTAATATGAAATATTAACAGATTGAATTGATGCATTTTATATATATCAATAAACAATTCTTTATAAAACTTGTGATAAGAAATCCATGTGTACCCTCAATCAAATGGCGAACGACGGAAAGGAAGAAACGTGCGCGAATAGCCTCGAAATAGAAAAGTAAAAAAAATCAAATCATTTTAAATTTATCAAATAATATTATTAGTAGATTGATAGTAGATTGATAGTGTGTTATTCCTCGAATACAGTTAATATACACAAAAGTATTACATATTTAAGTAGCACCTGTTTAGTATTTTTGGATGGAGATTATAAAGTTACTTCCTGTCAACAGATGGCAGTGTGACAATATGGCTGCAAAAGCAAAGTTTAGTCGGCTAGAATCAGAAATTGAAAGGTGTAGAGCGGAACGATCATGGTTAAAGGCATTAGAAGCAGCAAAACAACTTGCAAACAAATATCAGCATTTGGGTTAGTTTGTTATTGATGATAATTATGCAAGTTTTATTCGGAAAATTGCAAAATCTACATCCAGTGCCTGTGTTCAATGTCAAATATCTCATGTATTTAATGTAGTTTTGTACTAAATCATTAAGGTCAACTAGCATAATTAATTTGTACTATCTTAAACCCGTCATGGGAACGACTTTACTTTACCGGTCCCCAGAAAAACTATAGTGTCGCCGAGGGTGAGGGTGAGTCGATTTACCCAAAAGGACCCAAAAAGAACCCAAAAGTAACCCAAAATGAAATCAAAAGGACTCAAAATGAATATATTATGATATACTAAATATGAATAATTTGAATCAAATTGTAATTATTATATTATAAGTTGACATAAAAGTTGGAAAAAACTTATGTTTATTAATAAATAGTTGCAACTTTTCTTTGAGAAATAACGGTAACGGGTTTGTTTGCCCGATCTACCTGTTCGCTGGAGTCCGTTCGTGCAGAGACCATTTGCCCGAAATATTTTTTGCCCAATATCTATTTCCTTTACGAACATGGGATATTTTTTTCTCTAATTCTGATACAAGGATCAATGTTTATTTATTAATCGTAAGTAATTTTTGATTTGATTCTAGATAGAAATGTTTTTTGAATGACAAAGTGTTTGCAAATATAGTTAATTAGATAATTAATATGATTAATATCAATGTTAATTAGGGGGATACATCCGTGTTATTTTTACGAATTGCGCTTTGTTTTGAAAACAAAGGACTGAGACGTTAATAGGTCCATAACAGAACTGAACAGCGGATCTTGCGGATCTGGGGACCGGTAAAGTAAAGTCTACCACCATCATGCATTAATTTAAATTGTGAATAGGGAAGGATTAATGATGAAAAAATTAATTTGCAATAAATACTGCTAACTACAGTATACACGAGCACCTCCTAGATGTGGTTGATCCCAGCAAATACCTTGGAGTCATCATCAGTAATTACCAAAGATCTACGATGGGACAATCACATCAATAACATTGCATCCAAAGCCATCAAGACACTGGGCTTCATCAGGTGGAATATGAGGGGATCCCTCGAATATGCTTGTGCAGCATGGGATCCCTGGAGCTCCAAGCAAATCCAACAGCTTGAAAAAGTGCAAATAAGAGCAGCATGATTTGCCACCAAAAACTACCATAATTACCACCCCTGGCAGTATTACCCAGATGATCCAAGATCGTCACTGGAAACCATTAGTAATGAGAAGAATCAGACTTGTTTTGCTTTATAAGATCAAGCATGCATTAGTAGCTATATCTGCATATCTGTACTTAACATCTAGTGACAGCAGGACGAGAGGCAGCCACACGTTCCATCTAGCACACACCCGGATTGATGCACATCACTACACCTTCTTTCTGAGAACAATACTAGATTGGAACCACCTACCATCTGAAGTTGCCTTAGCACCAACTTTAGAGTCCTTCAAGTCACACCTGAACTCAAACACAATGCACCAGCTGGCTACAAGCACCATCTAAACATGCCAGTTTCTAGCCTTTTATTGTATATAGTACCCTGATTGGGGTTTTAGCTTTGTCCAATGCGTGGCAGTACCTGAGTATAATGCTCTTATAGAGTTCAACTCATATGGAAGAAGAAGAATACAAGAATTTTGGTCCATAGAAATACTTAACTTTTGTTGCATTTTCAGAATTATAGACATCTTTTGGAATAAACTATTGTTGTCAATATGCTGATAGTGTGACTATTACGGCAAACACAGATACATATTCAGTTTTAATTTAGATGCATCTCTTCAGTTAGATAGAACGTTCTAAACATACATTAAAATGATATTTCCTACGGATGAAAGACTTTGTTCTATGTATTGGCAATGTAGCAAAATAACTTTTGTTGGTACTGTGAGAACATAGTGTGTGTCGCATAGGATTGTGTGGCCAGAGATTACTGCTGAATAAAAATCTTTATATCAATGTGCATAGTTCATATTTTATCATTGCCAGTTTGTTCCAAAGCTCGCAGTGCAGAGCTGCGCTCACTTTTAAAACTGTCTCGAGACTCAGTGAAAACATTATAATATATCCAGCCAAGAAGAACCTCAGCTAAGTTTATCATAGTTTAGTGTCTCAGTACCATCATGAATAGAGTTGAAAATAATTTCATTCACCACATCTTTGTTACAGTGTAATGCATGTTAGCTGTGGATCTTGACTTTGCACACAAGATACTAAGATATTGCATGTATTTTTTTTTTTTTTGAAAATTGATTTTACTTTTTTTCAGATTTTTATGTGACTTTTACCCATGCAGAAAGCACTTTAGAACATTATGTCAAGGACAATATACCTCTAGAAAAAAATCACAATAAAGCCTGCGATCAACTGGCAGATGTGGAGAAAACTCTGTCTGGTATGGCCAGCAGTGGCAATAAGGTTAGTCAGGAAACTCTGTCTGGTATGGCCACCAGTGGCAATAAGGTTAGTCAGGAAACTCTGTTTGGTATGGCCAGCAGCAGCAATAAGGTTAGTCAGGAAACTCTGTCTGGTATGGCCAGCAGCGGCAATAAGGTTAGTCAGGAAACTCTGTCTGGTATGGCCAGCAGCGGCAATAAGGTTAGTAAAGCCTGCGATCAACTGGCAGATGTGGAGAAAACTCTGTCTGGTATGGCCAGCAGCGGCAATAAGGTTAGTCAGGAAACTCTGTCTGGTATGGCCAGCAGCGGCAATAAGGTTAGTCAGGAAACTCTGTCTGGTATGGCCAGCAGCGGCAATAAGGTTAGTCAGGAAACTCTGTCTGGTATGGCCAGCAGCGGCAATAAGGTTAGTCAGGAAACTCGTGTCAAAGTCACCATTTCATCGTAAAACTTGTAAAATCACTAGTAATTGTTATATGAAATAATTAACTTACCAAACATTCAATACTTTCATTGGTAACTAAGCCTTTATCCCCATGAGACAGATAAGATAAGCCCTGAGTAAGAAATTTGAATGTTTTATGGAAATGGATAAAGGCTTATGAATAATGCTAAATATAGAAGGATGAATTTTGTTTCAGCTGTCTTTTGAAGCCAAACTCTTACTAGCTAAGCTGCATTACTGTAAAGGTTCGTATGATGAGGCATTAAGACTTTACGATGAGATTAACTTGGACAGCGTCCTGGATCAGAACATGGCTCCTCGTGTGCTCCAACTCCTGGCTGAAGCTTACTCCATCAAAGGTAAATCTCACACGGCTTGGTAATGAAATGTCAGGACTTGGTTAAAGAATTGAGATAGAATTATTAATTATGGAAATTTAACATCAAGAATATAGTATTAATCACTGAACTATTAAAAAACAATACTGAAATAGAATAAAAGCTACACACAGTATAGGAAAAGATGTATTTAAAGAAGTTTATGTTCAAATGAACTCCAGGATCATGCTTGGAATCCAAGGGACCCAGCACCACCAGCAAATTTAAGGCTGCTGAACAAGAGAAGCTGGTGTTACAGTGCTTCGAGACGGCGGGGGACTTAGCCCTGCTGTACGTCCAGGAGAGAGAGAAAATGGCTCAGAGCAATTCATCTGGAGAAGAAGAGATAGACATTATCATGGAGAACGCCATCAAACAGTCTCCACTCATGTACATCAAAAAAGGGTAAGATCGGCATAGGGGCTAAGTATCAAAGTTCATGTGAGCTTAGTTATAGGATGATGCATTTAGTGTATTGTTTGTTTTGGATAGTGTAGCTAGTGTATTGTTTATTAATCTCTGTGTGTCTGAATGCTTAAAAAAATGCAAACAAGGTCTATCAATGACTTATTTCTATCTATCAGTGTGAACAGTGAATCAAATCTTCCATGATAGCTGGCACATACGATAGAAAGTGATGAAAAATAGTGTGTTCAGTCTAATGATATAATGTAGATGTGTTCCAAATATGCATGAAAGTCAAGAGAAACCATGCCTTACCTGTAAATACTGTTTGCCTCAGATTCAAGTTTAAAAAGAAAAATGAATTGCCTATTTTATCTTCCTGTTTCAGTGACATCAAACAAGGAGTAGGACGATTTAGAGAGCTACTGCGAGTGGTGGAATCTAGATTCACTCAAAGTCTTCGACAGGTCTCATCTTCTTTTTTCTTACTTAACCAACAAAAGAAGTGGTATATCATAGTATTTAAATTACAGCACATTGTAAATTTTAATCTGTCCTCAACAAGTATTCAACAATTTTTGCTCTTTGTTACAGGCACTGGCCAGGCAGTTGGCTGAAGTTTTGATCCGAGGCATGTGTGAGAAGACGTATATACCACTAGAAGTTAGTCATTCTAACTCGAGTCAAGTGACACATCCCTTACCTAGAAAATACTCAGGTGAAAAGTAAGTGTATACTGCGCAAGCAGAAATTTTCATTGGGATAAAATTTTGCTGATTTATTATTGAGTTTGTTGTTTAACGTCCATCTCAAGAATTTTTCACCGATATGGTGACACCACCACTTTCTGGTGGAGAGCTGCAAATTTTGACCTATACTCGGTACATAGGTGTATTAAGCAGGGAGGGATCTTTTTCATACCAGCACTTACTGCAACATGGGACCTCAGTTTATATGGTTTCATCTGAAGGACCTGTTTCACATCCCACCATGGGATTTGAACCTGCTACAAAAGAATCGACTACTTACGTCACAATCTGGAGCAGATGCTCTACCACTGCACCACATGGACCATGATTTATTTTAGAGAATTATTTTCAGTGCTTCACAAACATGCATAACACTTTATGGGTGTCTGGGTAAAATTTTTATAGATAATGCTATCATTGAAATAAACAAAATTGAATTCCATTTGAATGATTTGCTTTTACATTATTCAAATCTTAAAAAAATATTATTATCTTTTTAATTATAAGAAAATAGTCATTCACACTGTAGGTATATTCAGTTTAAATGTTGGACATTTTTCTTCAGTTTGTTCATCCCACGTGAACTTAATGAAGAGGCATTATTACTACTTCTTGTGGCAGAAGCAATTGTAAGTGTGTCTACGCAGTATTCTTTATTTGACTCTTGTAGGCAAGCTTTTGAATAATCTGCAGACAATATATTATGTAAGCATGTAAATCATACATACATCTGATACATGTAACACATAAAGTACTAAATTGTATCTGCTTTGGATTGAATAACTTTATTAATGAATTCTAATATCATATCTCTGACTTAGATTTAGTGTTTATTTTGTTGATATCGACAGGTGACAAGAGAGGCGGTGCTTAACCAGTCAGAGGAACATCGGGAGGACCGACACATCAGCTATGAGAACACGACGGCGGTCTACGATTTACTGGCCATCACTCTGGTCAGGTGTACTCAGTTCCTCAAACTATCTGATGTAAGTCACTCTGTCAGGTGTGCTCAGTTCCACAAACTGTCTGATGTGAGCTTCTATCCACAATACATTTGTTAAGAGACATTAAAATGATAGGTTTTTTTATCCTGCAACTACCCCTTGCATTGACCTAATAAAGGTTACCTAATAAATCAAAGCTTTATCCGGTCATTGCCCTAATAAAGCCTCGTGCATGTATTCCGACGTTGTAAAAGCATTGTGACGTCATGTATATTGCAATGTTTACGCATGGCGTCATAGTTTCAATTGCAGAGATGTGCCTAAATCTGTCGGAAATGGCTTGTTTTGGACGTTCAGTTGTAAAATTTTGTTGCAGGATAAACAAAATACATGATAACTGTCTTGAAATATAAGCGATATTTGGGCTCGGGTCAAAAACATAAGAGGGCTCGGCAAGCCTCGCGCTCTATCAGGTTTTCTTACCCTCGCCCAAATATCGCTTATATTTCAAGACAGTAACCATGTATTTTATATAATTATATATTATTATGAAGTGTTGAGGTAACGAACAGCACTCAAGCTCAAAGTACAATTCAACATTGGAAGCAGAGCCACCATGGACCTCCAAAACATCAGAGGTAGGATCAGGTGCCATGGAGGAGTGAGCTTCCCCTGTCAACTGGTCACACCTGTTGTGTACTCCTTGTCCTGATCAAGAAAAATGAAAAAATATGTAGACAATTCAGTGGGTAAATAATGGCCTAACAATTAATATGAAAAACATCAGTCAGCATTTGACGAAATATAAGTTGTATTTGCTGTTATTTCTTATGTGTTTATACTGTATACAGGGTTATTTTCCCTCTGTGTTATTTTTGCCCTTTGACACTTGCAGGTAATTTTGCCCCGTGTTAAAATCGCCCAGTCATGGTTTTATTTAAGAAATTATACTGTATTCGCCCCATTATAAATTTGTCCAAATTAGGGTAGGTTACCAGGGGTGAAAATAAAACGTGGCTAAAAATTTCCCTGTATATAATGCATGTATTCATGTTGAATAAGTTAATCAGGTTTTACTTAAGTTTTGAGGTAATGATGTTTATTTTTCAGTCCTTTGAGAAGGCTATGAGATTTTCATTTGAAGAGTTCCATATCTGGCATCAATTTGCAAATACACTTATATGCTCAGGAAAGGTAAGAAACAATTAAATACTGGCACTTTTTTCCGAAAATTGTTTTTCAGATGTAATGGGAATGTGAATGTACATGACTTATAGATATTGCTTCATTTGTTGAATATATTTTGTTCAATGTGTAATGGTGCAATTTGTCATGATAAAAAATGAAGATACCCAGTTGATTAATCTGAGTAAAACCTGAACTCTCAGTAAGCTCCAATTTTATTTTCCATATGCTCAATGTTATTTCAGTATAGCAGAGCCCTTCATGTCTTGAAAGAATGCTCCAGACTAAGACCAAAGAATACAGTGGTTTTACTGCAAGCAGCAAAGTTATGTTTTGAATGTCTCCATCTAGTAAGTGGATCATGAATTAATTATGTTTACTGTAATACATTAAATTCTCTTGACACTTATTTTATCAATGTAGTTATTTTATAATTATGAGCAAATAAAGATTTCTTGCATAAAAAGTGATTCTTAGTATCAGCCTGAGAACAAAAATAAGATTTACGACATTAGCAATATGACAATCCACACAGAATTCTATTTTTTTTATTCTTGTTTCAGTACAATGATGGAATAAACCTAGTCCAGCAGGCCATAGACAGCTGTTCCGAGAGTCACCCCCTGCTGTCTGTCGATTATACTTTTCTCATTTTCGACTTCAGTCTCAAGGCCCACTGGGCCAATTTACAGGGCGACAGCCACAAAGCATCACAAGAAGGCATTAGAAGCATTTAAATAAAGGGCCACGTCTCTTGTTTGTTACATGAAAATTTGGTGGCATGTTTTAAAAATCTTCTTCTCAAGAACCACTGTCGGCAAGACGGATGAAACAACCGAACATTCTCAAAGCGCTCCCTAATAAAACCGTTTGTTCAAATCATGTCCCCCGATTTTGGTCCAAGGCCCCTTAAGTTTTACATAAAATATATGTTCTTTAAAACATCCTCCAAACCGCTGTGCCAATTATTGAAACTTATGCGTAACATCCTCATTTTGTGTAGCGCCCCCTTGAAATTTTTTTATCTTGACCCCCATCGTAGGGCGGGGCCAAAATGGCCGCAAGCAATAGTTTTACATAGAAATATATAGTAAAATTCTTTAAAAATCTTTTCTCAAGGCACCCCCAATATATTTTTACAAACATGTTACGGAATAAAACTGTTGCAATGGTAGTGAAGATTCAATTTTGTTCAAAGTGTCCCCCGGGGGTAAGGCGCCCCCTAATATATTTTTACAATCATATTACGGAATAAAACTGTTTTGTATTTATAATATTATCGTTTATTGGCAGTTACCTAGAAAAAATTTGTATAAGGGGGCGCTTTGCCAAAATTACCAAAGTTTTACATTTAATTGGGGACATTCTTTAAAGATTTGTTTAAATAAAGATATTTTTTATATAAAAATATGTAGGGGCGCTTTGACTAAAATCATGACCCCCGGACCCAATATTTGGGGGCGGTATTTTTTCTATAAAAATATTTTAGGGGGTGCTTTGACCAAAATCAGGGGACGCTTTGACCGGGACATTCTTATTAGGGGGCGCTTTGACTGGCTCCCAGCATACCAAGGACCGATAACTTTACGTTCTGTGTCAGTCCAAATGACCGGTAGATGTTGAGAAAGCAACTTGTGAAATCCGACTAAAATTGTTACGAATTCCCTAAAACCGACCGATCATAATCTGTTAAACGCTTTTCAGTATCTCGTAATGGCTTCTTCGATGAACGCAAGTACCAAACTATGATTGATTAATTTTTTAAACAAGAGGTTTTTGACAGCGATTAGTATGAGCCAGGTGAGAAAATCGAACTAGATTAAAAACTTATGGAGAAAACCGACCTCCCACGAGAAATCAACGAAATTTGTTTATGATGATCAAATTTGCATGAAGTATGCAGTGTGTTTTGACGGAACATGCAAAATGTATTGATAATAAAATTCAAATACAGTTTTAATCTTTCTTAAAATTCCATTTAATTATTTTGTTGGACTGACAGAAATCTGTCTGGACCGACAGACTTCCTGTGGCAGTCAGTCCAAATGACTGACAGCGGAAAAAAAATTTCAAGAACTCTGCATGTACCATAAACTTGTATGCGATTGTTTTTTCATTGTATTAGTGTAATTTTAGAATTGTTACAGCCTGTCTGTTTAAGAGCTACTCTTAAATGTGATTTTTTTTTTTTTTTGAAGAAGTTACTTTTTGTAAGCTATATTACTTACTGAATAATAACCCCCACTATATGTTGTAGTGCAAATGAACTGGACCAGAATGATTACCTTGCATTATTTCATCTGGCACTACAGTTAGCACTACAAAGACAGGTGAGTGTAGACACATATATACATGTATTACATAAAACCATTTTAATATGGCATTGGAATTCAGAATACAATGTAATAATATAAGGAAGAAATAATGATCTATAAATTTTCATCATAAATGTATTTTTGTTGAATTTAACAGGCAGATAATCTATATAAGTTTATATTATATATATGAGTAATGAATTTGATAGATTATCTACATGTATATGATTGATACATTATGTGGATTATCTAGATCAGTGAGGCAATAAGATGTGTTAAGATGTCCCTGAAACATAAGAATGACTACATTCACTCCCTCCACCTGCTGGTGCTGCTGATGACATCGGAGAAGAAGTACGAGGAGGGGATGACCCTGATCCAGGCGGCCCTGGAGGAGTATCCAGACAACCTCAGTCTGATGCTGACCCGCAGTAAGCTGGAGGAGGTGCTCCTCGGCCCGGAGTATGCCCTCGACACGTGTCGACAGATGTTAGAGCTCTGGAAGGAACTGTACGAGACAGACGTCGAGGAGTAAGTCAGTATAAACCTCCGGGGAATCCCTGGCAGCTAAAAATAACTTATGTATACTCCATGACTTCCAATGATAGTTTAATGTTTCTCAAAATAATTAATGGCACCAAAAAGTAGTCTTATGTAACTCATAAGCTAAAAATAGTTGAACAAGTTTAAAAATCAAGCAAAATTAAAAAAAGCTGTTTATTGATTAAAGAAAAAAACCTTTAAAAATGTCTGCAAATGCATGTTTGAGTTTGTACATTTTAAGTTTTCGTATTCATCAAGTTTAGAAAATAATTTTTGCAGAAAGTAAACCTTTCAAATTGTTGTAAAATTCAACTTTGTTTATTACAACTGGTTATTTCTACTTGAAGCACATCATCTGAGAAGAAGTACAGAACCATCACATCTAACGACAGATCAACATTTGACAGGAGAAGTTTTGCTCAGCTCCAGCTAAATGAACTGAATGATAGAGACACAGGTTAAAAAATAGATATGTTATGATAATTTTGAAGTATTATGTACGTGAAATGAATAGGGAAAGGACATTCTCAGCATTTATTGTGATACCAAAACTATAGTCCTGTTATAAACCTGTTGAAAGTTGCATAATATTTAAACATACATGTACTAGACATTTTTAAAGTACTTAAAACATACCTAAACAGACTTTTAGAGAGGTATTATTATCATCCCATGTTGTATTGTGTTTCAGGATCGGTGAGGGCGGAGTCGGTGGCGGCCTCGCGGGTGGAGCAGACTCTGTCTGAGGTGGCGTCCTCCATGGGAAGTATCCTCCACTCCCGCCCGGGCTCCCAGGAAACCTGGCTCCTACAGGCCCAGATCTGGCTCCACCTAGGTATACAATAATTATACAGCCCAAATCTGGCTCCACCTAGGTATCAGATAATTGTACAGCCCAGATCTAAATATGTCACCTAGTTATCCCTAAGCTTGATTCAGCGATAAGATTGACCTTGATTTCTTTATTTACAGCGGAGTTATATCTAAGCCTGGACAAGATGACAGAGGCGGAGGGCTGTGTACAGGAAACTTCAACCATCTTCCCACTGTCTCACCATGTCGCTTTTATGGTACAAACTTTTTCAGATTTTGAGGAAAAATTTCACATTTTACCAATTACTTAGCTACAGGTTTCATTTGCTTTGTGGTATATTATAATTATCATTTTTCTGCAGAGAGGACGGGTATATGAACACAAACATAAGTACGAGGATGCCAAGTGCTGGTACGAGAATGCTTTATCCATCAACCCGGCCCACACAAAGTCACTTCAACATCTGGTAAGTATTCCCAGCCAAAACAGACTTTGTAATAGTTAAAGTTTCATTGAATACATGCCTTTCATAACAGATATCTTATTTTGTGTGATTACGCAGGGAATGGTGCTACATGAACAAGGGAACAATAAAATGGCGGAGAAAGCACTGCGAGAGGCGGTCAATGTGGACCCAACCGCACATCAGTCATGGTATGTATAAAGTTGTATATTTACTTGTGCTTGACAGGTTGTATGGAAGTTAATAATCCTAATCATAGCTTGATCCTAAAAACTGTGCAATCTAGAAATATAATAAAGGCCTGTGATCATCAAGGATTTCTTTTTGAAGTTCTTTTGGTGTAGTGTTAGATGGGGATTCTTAACCCAAAGTAGGTCATTATCTCAGGGAAAGGTGTTTTGTGAGCCAAAAATAACTCGTTCTGACCTCATTTTAAATTGGCAAGACTTTCCTTCATCAAATCATGCTTAATGTGAGAGATGGTTGTCATGGTCTAAAATATATTTTCATGCTTAAACTGGATTTTGTTTAAAGGGTATGAAAGTACATGTGTAATTGCTAAATTGACTAATACCTGCAAAATTCTGAGAGTATTTGACAACTGCATAAATGACTTACTGGGCAACAAATATAAACATACATGTATTGTTTGAATGATCACCATTAAAGGTTCCTTGAGAGCACTTTACATTTTAGATGACGACAGGCCTGGTATATAGAAGGTTTTACTTCGAAATTGTGTATGATAGGTTTATTGTTTTATCATAGGTTTTGACTAGCTGCAATAATGTAGTCCTCTCCCGTTTTTTTTTATCACACATTCATCAAGGTGATCCATACGCCAAATATTTTTGTTTGGTTTGAGTGATTGTATAAACTTAAGGGAGAGGGCTACATACTGTAACATTATTTATGCCTTCATGCTTTTAAAGAAATTTTTGATTAAATATCTGTAAGACTTGTTTGTAATAAGTTGGTGTATTATTGTAGGTTTTGATTCAGTCTAGTGTATAATAGGTTTGGTGTTTTATTGCAGGTTTTGGCTTAGACTTGTGTTTGATAGATTCCGATTTCATTGTAGATTTTGATTCGGACTTGTGTATGATAGGTTTGGTGTTTAATGTAGGTATTGACTTGGACTTGTTTATGATGTATTTTTGTAGGTTTGACTTGGACTTGTGTGTGATAGATTTTTTAGTTGCATTTTACTGTTGGTTTTGATTTGGGCTTTTGTATGATAGGTTTGTTGTTTTATTGTAGGTTTTATTTTAGCTTTTGACTCGGACTTGTGTATGATAGGTTTGTTGTTTGGTTGTAGGTTTTATTTTAGCTTTTGACTCGGACTTTTGTATGATAGGTTTGTTGTTTGATTGTAGGTTTTATTTTAGCTTTTGACTCAGACTTGTGTATGATAGGTTTGTTGTTTGATTGTAGGTTTCGACTCGGTCTTGTGCTGGAGAGTCTCGGAGAATCATCAGCTGCCAGCGAGTGTCACATGACCGCCCTTGGTTTGGAATCATCCAGTCCTATCGTGCCATTCTACGTTATTCCACACATGCTGCAGTGATATTACAATTAATTTCCCAAACCTACAGTGCAATAAACTCTATTGTGATAATTTTTTTTCCAGTCAATGCTGATACTAAGGGAGCATTTCTAATTTATATTTGTTATCAATTCTCTGTAACTGGGAGGATTTTTGATTTCTGTTCTATGCAGTTTATATCTGCGTAACTGTTTATTACGTGCTTGTGTTATTTTTTTTAATTTTTAATAACTGCGGCATTATATATGAATTGTTTTTCTGATTATAATATCAGTAACTGTAACATATCGTAAGTGTTGGTTTCCTTTTTTTATGTTTTATTTCTTGTTTTATTTACTACAGAAATTTGCATTACCAATATTTTCAAATCTCAAAAATCTGTTATATTTTGACCACCATCTATTCATTCCATAAGTATAAACAAAGGTGTGATTTCTTTTTTTTTTTTATCTATTTTCATTGTCCAAAACTTGTGTCTGGCTATGCTTTTGTTTTGCATTCTATTTTTCTGCCAAATTTTTTTTTGTCCATCAGTGTCAGCCAATACCTATTAAGTCAAAGATGCATTGTATGTTATGTCTGCAGCATTTGATTAATGTGCAATGTGCATAGCATATTTTACATTATGCTTTTATATTGTATAATTTAAACATGTACTTAATATACATGTAGATCAATATTGAACAACATTCCTTTTTATAAAATATGTAGAACATTCAGGTTGATGTTCATCAGTAATTCTTCTAATGCTTTTTACTACGAAAAGTGCTTCATATACAGAATGGGACATGGCATGGAAGGAAAAAAATAAAAGATATGTCACTTAAATATGTTTTTTTTAATCTAAGCAATATCACAAGAAAATTAAAATACATGTAAAATAAGTGAAACATATCTTCTTAAAATTACAGGTGACTGCTGTATATCTGTATTACATGTTTATACAAGATAAGAACAATATAAATAGAATCATACAGAGGTTGACAAAAATTTATAGAAATTTGCAGGAAATGTAAAAAAAAAAAAAAAAAAGGAAGGGATAAAAAAAAACAGTTTCTGCATTTACTAACACAACTTTAAACAAACATCATTTATAACTTTCAATTTTCATCAACCACACATTAATACTGATGTTTATAATACCTTGGCAACAAAACATGAAACTGAAGTGGGAAGGAATAGTTTTACCCTGTACCCACAAAACTAATTCTTAAGTGGGGAGGAATAACTTTACCCTATGCCCACAATGTGACTAGAATGGGTGAAATGGGAGAACCACTATCACAGAAAAAAAGCACAAATAAAGTGTATGTAAAATGTTCAAGTAAATGAATTACTCGATGACAAATAATAACGTATAAATTGTCATGTATGTTTCCTTGTTGCATTATTTTTCTATCCGACCTACTAAGCCTGATTTGGTTTTCCTCTATTTGTCAGGATCTCTTGGAAGTCCAAATTTTCACTTGTTCTGACCAAATCCAAAGTCTCAGTATAAGTGTGCTGTATGTTTTAGCCAGGATGAAGTGTAAACAATGGATTTAGAGCACTATGATTGATAGGCACTGGTGAAGAAGAGGCCGTGCTGTCTCCCCATGGTGGATACAGTGTTAGGGATCGGGTGCTGAAATGTCTTCTCATACATCCCAGGACCAGGAACTTTCTGAAAAAAGAACAACAACTTAGTACAATTATATTTGTTCTTGGGTGTAGTGTAGTACATGTATATCTTTTGTATACCCAGATTCTTGGGTACTTGGCTTTAACATGAGGCCCATGGTCCACAATCCTCACATGACCCTCCGGGTAGTGGGGTGTCATGATTTGTGATCTAAATTTTGTATAGGAATATATGGGTGAAAATCTGATGATGAAGAACAGTAGGACTAGAGTTGTTTAGGTGAGATTTTAACAAATCTGAATCTACACTAGCTGAGGACGCTTCCTGAGAATTATAGTCATGACTTTGCTGTTCTTGAGAAGGACTTTTTGAAAAAGATTTTTCCTTTTTGGAACTTAAAATCACCCATTTTGGCCTCTTGCAACCCCAGAAAGTCTATCAAAACTGCCATGGGATGATTCCAGATCAATATGACATATCCTGGCTTTCCTGTTCCTGTAAACAATAATTCCTATGTAAATCTTGGATCCTCCACTGTCACCCTATCTCCAGGGGTCATGATCTGAACTACCTTGAATTCCCTTCATTCAACAATGCTTTGTTGGCCCAGTGGTTCTGTAGAGGAAGTCGAAAATGTGAGAAGTTTACAGACAGACACAAGGATGACTGACAAAATGTGATTGGAAAAGCTTTCTCATGTTTAAGGTCAGGTGAGCTAAAATGCTTTGAAACTCCAAAGGTCAGGATAAATACAAGGCCCCCTCCCCCTCCTTATAGTAATAAGCTGAAACTTTGCATATTTTGGACACTAACCGTATGTGAACTAGAAAATCGTGGAGTCCTGGATTTGAAGCTCGATGAGACAGCGGTGAGGGATCGTTGATGGGCGTGTTCATAATTCCCTGGTCCAGGCCCATCTCTCTGAAATCAGTCAAACATATCAACAAAAAGTTTGAAAGAATATACATGCAGAGATAAAACACTACATAGTTATTGGACTTTTCCTCTGGGACCAAGAGGGATCTACTAGTAATTTCTGAACACAAAGTTCTTAAGGAGGCATGACCTGCTAAGAAAGATAACTTTAAAAAGATAACTTTTTTCATTCAGAAATCATTTTCAACTAATTTTATTTTAAATATTGCCACAAATGGTATGAATATTTCTTTTTTAAAGAGATATTGTCAAAATTAAGAAAAAATATTAATTCTGGTGAATTGAGGGTCTTTTCTTTCTCTAAAGGAAGAAAAAGCAACTGGATTTTTTTTATACTCACAGGTTTGAAGGGTAGCGTAGGGAACCTTTTATGTTGTGATCGGAACATGTAGTGTCTGAATGCAGGAAAAAATGCAATCAGATACAATAAAACTCATTTCTCCGATTATATACAAAAATTGATCATAATTTTCAGCTAAAGTTTCTTGAATAATTCTGCACTATTTGATGAAACTTTGTGCAAAGGTGCATGAAAAAGTGAAAGAGACAACTGTAATTTGCTTTTCAAGAACTAGATCATTTTTAACAAAATATAATGCACTGAAATGACTCACTTTGAAGATTGTTTGTCGGTTGTCATGGACAGAAATTTTTCCATATCATATTGCCCTGGACTAACATTTATATCCTAAAAATGTTATTTTTCATTAAATTTGGTGATACAATTATGTATTTTTTGATGTGTACACTACTATTATTATTAATAATCAATACATCCAAGTTTTTACAGCATAATTTTACAGTCAATGACAGAAATGCTAGGTGAGCAAAGAAAATATTAAAAGCATGCATACATGTGATCAAATACCCTTTAATTGTAATCAATAACTGTATTTAATGCCCTTTTGTGTGTAGCATCAAAGTACATGCTAAAGGTGGCACAATTAAGTAGTAGTATTATAATGAAGGTACCAACATTTTCTTTAAAAACAAAAAGATCAATAGACTTTATTATTGTGGAAACAAAAAGCAAAAAGTTAGTTATGTTTTCTACAGTTTACAATATATCAGCAAAATTATTGGAGGTTGGTTGATTACCCCCCCCCCCCCTCATCCCACCCCCATCCCCCTGTTCTTATGGGCTTGATTAGGTTTCATTACAAGTCTGTTTTAAAAGATATGGACAGATCCACTGGATAAAATTGGCATGCTGGGAAATGGAAACTCCGCAAAATAGGGCTAACTGAGTCAGAGTGAACACCCTCTCCACAGTGGTGTAGGTGGCAGTGGTGTCCAGTGTGATTTTTCTCTCTGAGTAACAGTGAGGGTAAACTTTGTGTTTTGTGACTACGTGTTGTCTTACTTTGAGGGCTGTCGAGATGTTGTCATTGACAAATACTGTTCTGTTTCGTATGCATTAGGACTTATATTTATGTCCTGCAAATTAATCAGCAAAGCTTACTTTATCTAAGTAATAATTTAATAACTTTATAAAGTAGAATCTTAGAGAAGAAGTAAGACTCACTTTGTCTTTGTGTCCAATAACTAGAAAGTTTTGTTTACTCCTGTCTGTCGCCCTGAAATTGTAGGTGGCAGGTGCGTGTTCAAGTCTGTAAATAAAGGTATTAAAATTTACAACAAAATATAACCAAATACAGTGTTCCTGAAAAATGATTGAAATTAATTCAAAAACATATAGGTGGAGAGTCGTACTTGGAGAAATATTTTATAATATCCCGAATCTTTCTTTTCCAAGAGAATTCAGTTGGATCTACATACATGTACATGTACTAGTATGCCGCACCTTCATGGTATAACATGTTCATTATAATTCAATTGTGATAAAAACGATAACCGATTATTCCATTATTTAGGATAGTAAGTTTGACTATTTTATATTGAATGATTAAAATGTAAAACTCACTAAAGTTTTAGATAAAAAGTTAGATTTACCGAAATCAGTCTATAAAAAGCACACAACTCAAAAGTTTCATTTTTTAGTTGAAAAAATCTACAAAAATAAAAGTATCCACTACAAATCCTGGATTTTGATTTTTTTATCCTATATGTATCATGTAGTTAAAAATTGTTTTATGCTTTTAAAACACTCCCGACATACACCATAGCTCACCAAATTTTAGCAACACGTTATTTTCGCGATATTTTCACGAATGTTTATTATCAGCGCATATATTATACGTATTCTTTATATATATTACTGGTTTTACTTTCATAAAAAACACAAAAATTGCCGTGTTAAGTTTTTCTTTCGATCAAAAGGAACATTTCAATACCTCTTCAGATAATATCAATACCTCTTTAAACAGAGTCAATACCTTTCTAAGAAGTGTTGGAATTCGTAGGCTCCGGGTAACAGCGTGGCTCCTTTACCGTGGGGGTGCGGATCTATTTTTCTGCCGTCTGACTTGAATCTGTATGTGTTTTGTTTCTTTTCCATATCATCTAGGAAAGTCCCGCTCTCATAGGCCCCAGGAAGTGGGGTCTCCTGTCAAGATATGTAAAACCAATCTGAATCGTGTGCTGTCATTAGACAAGGATACTTGCCTCTGAATGTATTCTTCATCGTACCACAGTAAGGAAGTATTATTAGCCACAATTAATATTCTTTTATCCGCATAACAGTATACGTAAAATAAACTAACAACATTGATTCAACAAAAAGATGAAAACAATTTTTCATATATATTTTTTATTTGCACATTATAAATAATTGAAAAAAGTGTGGTTGGTGGTGTTCAGGTTCGAAATCAACCCCTGAAAAAATGGGCAATATTTTTCTAAAGTTATCTTGAGGAAAAAACCTTAACACAGCCTTAACTTCCGATTGGCCTTTTCTTTATTAGGTTCTTTTTCTATCATGTATCACATTCACCAAATCATTCTCGACAATGTCAGATAATGGAATTACTTTAAGGTTCATTGATCCTCTGACAAGGGAATTAACTCTGAAAGATATAAATGACTTAAAAATTTGTCAAGTTCAAAATATTACTGTCTTTTTTGTCGAATTCTGCCCCGCAAGATAAAAGCTTAAAATGATTGCATGATACTTAAGCTTATAAAATGCGTTTTCTTTTTTAGAAATCCATATTTATAAAAGACGTTAAAGCAACATTTTATATTTGGTAAGCAGGAGGATTGTGAACCTTAGAAAGTTTCGTCAACTAAGTCAGTAAGTGTTAGCTGCAGAACTGTGGTCTTATGGATTTATGTTTTAGTCTTCATATCAAAGACAGAAATATAAAACCATATATACAGTTCAGCAGCTATGTGTTGGTGAACTGTGCATCGATGAAAAAATTCTCTCTTAGAGCAACAGAAATGGAAATGAAGATGTTCATTTTTCTTCTGTACGAGCCAAAAGTAAATGGTTATTCCAAATGTGTGCAGAAAAATCTCAACCTTGACTACAAAAAATTTCTTCTGCGAAATAATCGGCTTACTTAGAAAATAACGAAAGCAATTAATGTCGGGAAAATATTTTACGATCTTCAACTTTTGTGTAAAAATCGATGTAAATCTGCAGCTGCTGTTATCAATGGCAGGCAGAGAAATTAATCCTCTGACGAAACTAAAAACAAAAAAAATATCGTAAATCACGGCAAGGTTTTACTGATGTGTCGCAAAAAGGGTGAAAGGCAAAGGTTTTCAATTTGAGCTGTATTATAGGTGGATAAATGGCTAAAAAGCGTATCCATACATAAAAAAAAATCACAGTTCCTAAATCTCAATTTGAAAAAAAAAGGTGGACACACTTTTCTTTGACCATCATACATCACATCAGGATAAGTCTCCAAACTAGAAAATCCTGATAGAGAGAGAGAGAGAGGAGGGGGCACTTTCTTTCAGTTCCCAATTTTACGTAATACGCTACTACATTACCCTTATATGAATTTGACATTTCTGCTACAAAAAGTGTGTGTGCGTGTGTGTGTGTGTGTGGGGGGGGGGGGGTAACTGACCTTTCAATGAACATTTTTAATGGTAACAAATTAGTGAAATTGCGGTTGGCAAAAAAGGTGAACAGCCCCTCCCTCCCCTGATGCTCCATGCCTGCACATGTTCATCGACATTAAAACAATAAACATGATATGTGTCCGCTACCACCCCTCCCTCTCCACGACGGGGCCCAGGTCCCCCCCCCGTGTTATAAATAGTAACAGACTCACCCTAATATATGTCCGCCACCACCCTTCCCTCTCTGTGACGGGACCTTCATATTCTTCGCTCAAGGCCTTACGTTTCTGGAAAAAAAGTGCAAAAATATTCTCAAGGATTGTAAACAAAATAACAAATAGCAAAAAATTCTTTACTCTAATATTGATTTTATAATCAATATATATTTTTACCAAACGTTGAACAAACTAACATAATTAGTAGAATTGTTACAGATCTCAAAAACAATGTAACTTACCAGCCAGGGGTGCTTTAACTGTCGCTCCTCCGGTGGGGTGCTGGCGGGCCGTGATCCCGATTTCTTGGCCGGTGGTTTGGGGGCCAGATGGGGGGTGGTGAGTCGAGATGTTTTCTCTTGGACAGGCGTGAGGGGTGTCGCGTGCGCCAGGCGGCTAGCCATTTTGAAAAGAATTATTTACCTTTTTTTTACTCGATCGATTCACACCTGGTTCTGTTGCGTCCCTAGTGACGGTAGACGTATCACGTGGCCTGGGGATTAAATGAAATGTTTTGTTGTGTGATATGTAATGAAAGAAAATATTTTAACAGTTTGATAGATTTAAATACCTGTTCTCCGCAAGTCGTCTACGAGCACTCGCATGAATGCGGTTCAATTAAATCAATATATTGATAATTTTAAAATTACAACACGACAAATTCACACAGGGCTCTAAAAATTAATTATTTTGTTAATTCTCTTTGTTTTGTGCACTTTTAACTCTATTTTTGGTGGCTCAAGTATATAATTCAATAGTTACTGCAAGTAACAAATGCTGATTAATCTTATTTACACTGAAAGGGAAAAAGAAATAACTTTTGAATGAGAAAAGATAGGGCCAATGACTTTTCAAAAAATTAATATTACATGCGCGGATCTAGAGGGGGGGGGGTCGGGGGGGGGTCCTGGAATTTACCAGGTTAAAAAATGTATATACTAAAACAAGAAAAAAGTTACCATGGACCCCCCCCCCCCGGAAAACGCTGAACCCCCCTGGTAAACGCGAATATGTGTGAAATGGGTATGAAAAGTGAAAGATTTGAGGCAATAGAAGTCACCACTAACCCCCCCCCCCCCCCCCCCCCACACACACACACACGAAATAGGTTTTTGACGTTTGGGCGAGTTTAGGTTTTTTTTTTTTTTTTTTTTTTTGCTTGTCAATGTAAATTTCTACCGGTATAAAAGTCGTTATAAACGAAATTTGGTAATCCGTTTGCCCGATTGACAAGGAGCACACGGTGGGTAAGATTGAAGCCTAATTCTGAATTAGATTGTCAGGGGATGCTTACTCCTCCATGGCACCTGAACCACCAATGAACTAGTGAGTTTGATATTCTCCCAAAGATGTTGAAAAACAAGCAACAGATATAATACGGGAATATAACTACATGCCCTTTACATTTTCCTCATTGAAAGTTATTTAAATATGCATGACTGGAAGTCGTAAAATCGGGGGACAATTGACAGACACTGTATCTGAGAGACCACGGTCCGTGACAGAGCGAGGGTCTGCCAAGTTTAAACTGTCACGTCATTTGAATTATTCTCGCTGTTCAATTTCTCCACCATCCCAACTGGCTCAATTCTCCTTTCCCCTTTGCTCATCTTCGCTGATTTATACGTCAAATTAGATATATCAGATCGAGCCTGACAAAGACAAAGCTCAATAAGGAGATGGCATGGCGAATTTTCCTTTTATTCAAACTCTAATTCAGCTGCAAAGGCGGTTTATTGATTATGTGCTGTCAGTAATCAAATTATTTAGAAATGTCAGAAAGTGAAACTGTACCAATACTGGACGAGCAGTGATTTCTTGTAAACTTGAATCACGGAATTAAGATAAAAAATCTATAGAAAAAAATCACTCAAAAACAGGTAAGTTTATTAAAAGGTAAGATATTTTAAAGTTGATGCTGTTTAATTAAAACTTTCTTGAAGTTTCTAGATATTTTTGTGAGAAAGAATATTATACTTTCTTTAATATTGAAAATGTTTTAAATCACACTTTTGAAACTAAATTCTGCGAAGACATTCAGTGTATTTTAAAAATGTTCATACACCTTATTGGAATTCGAATTCGTTTTTATTCTTTTATTTATACCTCAGAAATCCGCGCCGTGCAACGCTGTTCAAATGGAATCTGTGTATTGTGTTATCTTTGTAACGTTCCTGTTCATACACTTTAGGAATGGATCCATTATATGTTCATATGCGCAAGGAATCCGCGTCTTGTTCATGTATGTCAGAATTATAACTGAACCACCAATGAACTATTTTTTTTTTCTTTTTTGTCATGAATTATGTTTCTATATTCTTTACAACGATATTGAAAAAAAGCAACAGATATAATACGAGAATCATAACTTACATGCCCTAAAATTACATTACCTTCCAAAATGTGTCAGTGAAGTTATTTTTGTAAATATGCATTTACTGGAAGTTATCCGAGTATTCAGCGTCAAACGTGAAAAATTTGGAAAAGTCAAAGCAGAAATTACGGAAGTGATCCAAAAACGACACCTAGCGGGTAACTTTCGAGTTCCGAGTGTCATAGAATGAAGGGAAAAGCCAGAGGACTACGAAAAAGTTCATTAAAGTCGAAATCGATTCATTAGAGATTTAAATTTTGCTGCAGATTTTCAGAGCGAATTAGGATCGTCTTCAATATTCTTTTTAAACTGTACCATTTAGCGTATTAAAAATCGCATGTTACAATACATGTAACCCCCATCCCACCCCACTGATATCATGAAATTATCTTATACAATGATTCTCACTTGCCAAAAAATTTAAGCATTTATGAATCACTGATACCATTTAGCGTATTAAAAATCGCATATAAATTACAATATATCATATCATGAAATTATCTTATACAATGATTCTCACTTGCCAAAAAATTTAAGCATTTATGAATCGTTTCTTAAAAAAAATGAAAATGCAAAACTTTTCGGTTATATTCTCTCGTTTATTTTCCTATGTGCTGTCACTGTATATCAAATTATTTAGAAACATGGCCATAGGAATAATATTAGTATATTATATAATATGCTGTAGAGGTACTATATGCTCGTGCCCCTCAATAAAAACCAGTGACATTTTTTTTGCTTGTTGGAGAATTTTTAGTTGATAGCATAGTGCCCTAACTAAAAATGTTTGGCTGTTCCCCATCCCCCAGTCTGAAATTACTTCCTAGCCTGTCTAGGTATAAAAAATCACTTATCAAAAGCCACAATATTGTCACTTGTAGTACATTTAGGGATTAAAAGGATGGGGGGGGGGGGGCGGGGGGGCTGCCCCCCCCACTTTTTTCCAACATTACATTTAATATTGAACTTGTCCATTGGAAGGTAGGTTGCCCCCCCCCCACCTCTTACCACAATATAGTGATATGAAGAAAATGTGGTATCGTATGCATGAAAATTGGAAGTAAAAAGGAGTTGGCCTTGGAAAATGTTGGCCAAAGAAAATTTTCGATACTTTCTTTAATTTCTTGTCAACTTTTACAGAAAAAAAAAAAAAATGTTTTTCAAAAAACGATCACACTTGATTTTGACAACTGAATATAGGATGGGATGTATTCTAATAATTCTAACCTGTAATGACGTGCACACACTCCTTCCCATATATTTAATAATATAGCGAGTTCAGAACTCACAGGAAATGGAATTATGATTTTTGTGCTGTTTTGAATAAGCACATTTCTGGTTGTATTTATCTATTTAAACTAATGCATTAACAGAAATCCACCTTTATGCAGACACAGTCACCTGAAAATAAAAGTTGAGTTTGCCTAAACATATCCACGTAGAAAAGGGAGGTTCCATGTCATTGTGTTATCTTTTTAAAACACCATATTGTATCATAACAAATCTTTAAAAAGAATATTGAAGACGATCCTATTATATCTGTTTAAATTCTATGAATCGATTTCGACTTTAATCAAAATTTTCCGAACTTTTTCGTCCTTGTTTTCCCTTCATTCTATGACACTCGGAACTCGAAAGTTACCCGCTAGGTGTCGTTTTTGGATCACTTCAGTACATTTCCAAATTTTTCACGTTTGACGCTGAATACCGGATAACTAATGTTCAATTAAATGGCACGATTAACGACAAAAATCTCTACCGGATATCATGACACATTTTGGTGACATGTAGTAGGTATATATATATATAATCAAGAGGAATTAACAATCCGAAGTGACTTACCTTCTCTATTTTATAATACCAGGGTAAGACTTTTTAAGTAAATCGTTAAATATATGTTATTTTTTGGATTTTTCATATGGAATACGTTGTAAATAAGTACTCATAATTCATGACAAAAAAGAAAAAAAAATATTTTGACCAGGGGTGTAGTTCGTATACCTGTGTGTTCATCTACAGTACGTACTTGGAATCCTTATAATGTTCATCTGCAAAAGGGATTCGTATCATGCTGTCATGGTCATATACTTCATGGATCGATCCGTATCATGTTCATCTACGTAAGGTATCGGTATCATACATGTTCATCTTCGTGAAGAATTCGTATCATGTTTATTTCCTTATGTTCATCTACGTCAGGGGTCCGTATAATGTTCATTTATGTATGAGGTCCGTATCATGTTGTTCTACGTAAGGATCTGTATCATGTTTATATAAGTAAGTGATCCGTTTTTATCTTCATATAAGGAATTCGTATCATGTACATAAGGGATCCATATCATGTTTTATATCTACGTATAGTATCGGTATCATGTTCATCTATGCAAGTGGTCCGTATCACGTTCGTCTACGTAAAGGGATTCGTATCACTACGTATGGGTTCCGTATCATTTTCATCTACGTAACGTACGTATCCGTTTTATGATCATCTATACGTAAGGGATTCGTATCAGGTTAATCTACGTAAGGTACCGGTGTATCATGTTCATATACGTGTTCATCTCAGTAGTGGGTCCGCATCATGTTCATCTATTAAAGGGATTCGTATCATGTTCATCTACGAAATAGGTCAGTATCATGCATGTTTATCTAAGTTTACGTAAGGTATATCGGTATCATGTTCAACTATTTATAAGGGGATTCGTATATCGGTATCATGTTTATCTACGTAAGGTATATCGGTATCATGTTTATCTAGGTAAGGTATATCGGTACCATGTTTATCTACGTAAGGTATATCGGTATCATGTTTATCTACGTAAGATATATCGGTACCATGTTTATCTACGTAAGATATATCGGTATCATGTTTATCTACGTAAGGTATATCGGTATCATGTTTATCTACGTAAGGTATATCGGTATCATGTTTATCTACGTAAGGTATATCCGTATCATGTTCGTCTACGTAAGGTATCCGTTTCATGTTCATCTATGTAAGGGATTTGTGTAATGTTTATGTTAACAGCAGCACCGGTCCCTTTTCCCTAACGGAAGAAATTAAGATTAACATGCATCCGTCGGGAAAAAACTACTATTTTGCTATTTTTAATGTGATAAACCATTTTGGGATCATTTGATGGGTTCTACACTTTTCAGTTTTGACGATGTCTTTTTTAACAGGATGGGCGGTGACACTACCCTCCAGGAGAACATTGTAGCCGGGGCCTGCGTCCTATTGGTGGTGGTGTTTATCGTGTTTCTGTTAATTGTGGCGCGGGCTATCATTGTTAAGTGGCCCAGACTGTCCCAGGAGGAGTTTTTGGAGGTGGAGCCCATTGACCGACAGATGGACGTGTGGTCAGTTCAGCAGTCTGATTCCTGCGGCCCGACAGAGACCGAGGAGTTCATCAAATGAGGGATTGACCAGTGTCGAGACAACTATACACGTCTCTCTGCTTCCGTAAAATCAAAATATTAAATTATTTTGCAATGTTTCTGTATAATCCACATACTGTCAATAAATATCGGATTTAACATTGTGTTTTCATGGAATTGGTTATCTAGTTATTTTGATGTCGGAATTGTAACTGAAAAAAGCAATACTGTGGTGTGTAATCATATCATGCATTGTGATGTATCAAATCACAAATATTTGTTTATCGTGTATATTGTAGTGTCATCAAATTAAAATACTTGTATATGTATAATACATGTACATTATGGTGTCATTAAACCCGGGTCCTTCAATTGGCATTGTAATTTCATAAATGTTATGGATTCTGTAGAAGATTACGTCTGGCGATGGACCAGATATGAAAAAGAAGACCTTGACACTTTGTCAGAATGGATTAAACGCATCAGAAGTATGTTAAAATAGTGGGTTCCAGTTATAATGTTCAGTAAATCGTCAACTTTCCTTACTTATGCAGCAATATACCTTTGTCACCTGCATACGGAGTTTATATCTCAAAGTTGATTCGATACGAAAGAAAAGTTGATTCGATACGAAAGAACGTTTTACGTGTGAACAATTTCTAAAAAGATCGAGGTAAATTATTGACAAACAAGTTGATAAAGCCTCAGCATCTCGCTTAAAGTTATCATTTCGTAAGCTCTACGGTCGATTCAATGACCTTGTCAGCAAATACAATTTATGAATAAGTCAGATACTGACCGAATTTTTCGCACTGATTGTTACGCCATTATTTCACACAGAGCTGTCCACGGAATTTTTTCCCCGTAATTTCCTGATCAGGACAAGGAGCACACAGCGGATGTAACTGATCGGCAGGGGATGCTCACTCCTCCATGGCACCTGATCCCTTCTCTGATGTTTTGGAAGTCCGTGTTTTCTCCACTCCTATGTTGTAATGTTTAATGGACTTTTAAGCTCGAATACTATTTATCTCCACATATTTCACGACAGATGTATTTGCACATAAAATTTTGGCATCATCAAACCAAATTTGTTTATCTACATTAGTGTCATCGAACTACATTAGAACCATTTCCAGGTTAGTTTGGACTTTCAGTAAGGCGTGGCATTCTCGGCGCTACGTAATTAACTTCTGAAATTTACACAGCTTTCCTTCACTGTTGAAATATACATGGGATAGAAAATGCCAATTAGTATATCGAATAACCAATAACGTTGTATCGTCCGGCAAAGAGGTGGAGTTTAAGTTGTCTCACCGTTGTCAACAAAAATTTAAAGTTCCTGATGTTATTAATTTCTTAACCAATGAGAATTTATTCGCCATTTGACAGACGCTAATTACGTAGCGTCGGGAATGACATGCCTTACTGAAAGTCCAAAATAATCTGGAAATGGTTCTATTTATTCAGCATGCACTCTGTCGTCATTAAACACAATATTAGATCTAAATGAAGATAGTTACAAATAATTGAATGTGTTAATTTGGCGTTCAATATATTTCACACGTTTTCAGAAAGCTGTTTTTGAACACATCCAATATTTAGGACTGGGATGAACCTATAATTTCTTTAAAAATAAAAGACATTTTACTGCCAATTACACTAATATTTCCGTTAATGCAAGCAGATTATCCGTTTCTTCCTCTTAAAGATGGCCATGTACCGGATAATTCTTCACATCGTACATGACCAAACTCTAGACGCAAGAGAGTACAATCTGCTTGCTTTGGATGACATATAGATGTCATTGAGGTGTAAATATACATGTACTTTTGAGAAATCATAAGCTCTTACTATTTTGTTAATTGATGGGGGAAGGGGTTGCTACCGATCGATATTTCAGGTGCTAGTGAGTGGTTCATACGCAGTGACGTCATAGTTAAAGTATCTTAATTCAGTAGCAATTGTAAGTAAACATGGATTTCAACAACATACTTGAAGGAAATTTGACAATTTTATTTTCCATTAGATTGGTATACTTTCCCTCTCTCCATCTTTTCCAAGGTTAGGTAGTATTTTTACCTCCCTTTCCTCTTCATGAAGGGAAACAAGAAGTTATACTACACCCTGTTCTACAACTGTTCTACACCCTACACACTGTGACAAAAATCACTTCTGATCTTTCAAACTGGGATGAGATACTTAAGTATCACTATGGCAAAATATGACTTTTAATCAATAACTTAATGTAATAACATTGATTACGTTTTCAACCAATAAAAATTGTTCATCCCTGATACCTTGCCATGTAAAGGAGGATAAAATAAGATGAACCAGACTGAGATTCAAACCCAGGCCAAATACATCTCCAGTCATGTGCTCTACCCACTGAGCTATCAAGCCAAGGGTGATCAAACCTCTGATCGGCACAGCTTCTCTGTAAAATGATAATTCCACTTTTACCTACACTCAGAGAAAGTGAACCAGACTGATATAGGTCAGTCATGTCATATCCTGAGAATGCATCTCATTTATCTTTGAAATTATAATTTTTGTGTAAATCCTAATCAAATATTTTTTCCCCATTTATATTAAACGTATTTTATGGTTAATATTAAATACTGTAGACGTACTTTTTTCCAGGGGGTCATAATTCCGCTGAATCTTATTTTCTGTTCAATCCGCCGGTAGAAAATTTCGCGGATTTCATTGACTATCACTATATGCCTTACAATTATATTAATTACGCGTGGACAAATTTCCGCGGGAAATACGTGACCGCGTACATAGCGTAAATTAATACCACGCGGATAAAAGTACTTATACAGTAAGTGCTCATATAAAATGAACAAAGTCTTCTCTTGATTATTTCAAAGTTTATTACAAACTTTATCCTAAAACAAATATTTTATCATGTTGTAATGTATTTTCATCTATAATCAGTATAAAAAGAACATCTTTACTTCATTTTTAAAGACAGTAAACATAGAATGTCATGATATAACAACAAACACAGCGATAACAGGTACTATCCGGACTGTGTACAGTGGATACAAGACATGATTGATGGAGTCAGTTGATACAAGACGAATCTCTACAGCTTCCTCAGACACACTGACACTTCAATGTTCTCAATCTTCAGTTCTCCTCCTCCCCATTCATTTCTTCATTTACTTCTTCTTTTATTTCTTCCTTTACTTCATCTTTCATGTCTTCCATATTTTCTTCCTTTATGGGGGTTCTGGATCTTGACCTTGAGGGTGATCTTGACTTGGAGCGTGACCTGGATTTGGACTTTGACCTTGATCTGGACCTGGACTTTGACCTTGACCTGGATCGACTGCGGCTGTGAGACTTACTTCTGCTCCTGGAAGATCCCCTCCTTTTGCGAGACCTACTCCTGGATCGGCTCCGAGAACGACTCCTTGATCGCGTTCGCCTGGATCTGCTGCGACTTCGAGATCTGGAACGACTCCTGGAATCTCTGAAAATTACACATTGTGTACATCATTTGTCTTTCTCAAAAATCATTGCTATTCTTCCCCACTGGGTTCACTAAAAATGGCTCCAGTTCTACCAAAATGTTGTAAAAGCTTTTACTTGTAGCCATTAAAAAAAATTGGTTTTAATTTTCATTTGGAATATCCATGATTGTTGTTTTATGAATTGGTGAGATACTGAATTATAGGAATATGTAAGATAAGAAATGTTTAATCAGTCTTTCTGTGAGTTATTTTACCTTCTGCTTCTCCTAGACTTGTTCTCAATCAGTCGAATTTTTCTGCCATTGATTTCAGTGCCATCCAGCTTGTCCATGGCCCTCTTCAAATCCGAGTAACTGGCAAATTCCACAACACTGAAACCAACAGATTTATACTTCAATACAACAGCTCTGCATTATCATAAAAAAATTTCAGACATGAACTGATTTCATATTTTTTAACATTAACTCTCCCTACTCACCCTTCATTCTTGTGTTGCTTATGGGCATCTGCATAAGTTACTTCCCCTGCTTGTCTCATGTAGTCTTTCAGGTCCTTCAACATACACAGAAAACCTAACTTTACACATGACATAACTACATGGAGGTGTACCTAACATTAACCTACTATGTCCTGCCAAAATCAGCAACCAGTCTAATTACTCGTTGAACATCAAAATCTTTACAAACAAAACAGTGAATTGACTGAATTCACGATTTTGCCTCCTCTGTTATGCATAGCCATAAGCCTTAATTCTTTAAAAGGGCCCAATGTACAAAAATTCTGACAATTCTAAATATATTTAAAATGTATTCCATTGAAACAAATGGTTGCTGATTTGACAGGCATGAACAGCATAACTGTGTATAAATTACCTCCCTTGGCATTTTTTCTAGAAAAAACATCTGAAAGCCCTGGTTCATGTGACATCTAGCACTGATAAGCTGTCATCTGAACTTCTGACCCCCAACAGAACCCAGCCAGAAATCGTCCAGACAGAGATCAGCCAGAAATCGTCATCACAAACTTCACATTTACCAACATCATAGAGTCAGTTTTAAATTAATTAGTTTTCTCATGTCGCAGTAACTTATACCATCTGCAGGCCACTCAAAGTTTATACATGTAAATCTGATAATAATTTATCTACATTTCATAAAGTTGGCATTTAAAGATTTGAATGAGTCTACTTTTTACTCAATTTCATGAGATGAATTTTGCAATAAATTCCCTATCTCAATATTTCTGCTATTTTAAATCACAATTAATAACTGGTTTGGAATGTGCCTTCAGATGGAAAAATTAGAATTTTGATATCAAGTCTGACATAGATTGGCATGCTATTATTTTAACTGGGATTTACAAAGTTAGAGGAGCTTCTGGTATATTTAACAGTTGTTTAACATCAGTTATCAGATATCTCATCATGCTAGACTGGCTCTGGAAAGAAAACAGCCAGAACCCATCCCCCTGGTCACATCAAATCAGAAAGAGACAGCCAGAAAACATCAGAGGACTGTCATCAGTTCTCTCCCTTCATCAGAGCCCTCAGTTATTTCCCTTCATCAGAGTCAGACCAGGCCTCTGACTGCATTGAAAGCTTATGAGAGAAATGATGAACATTTAATCAGTTTACACTCTGTAATATTATTCATTAAATCAAAGTTTACAAATTTTGAATGCATGAAAAAAAAAATTTGATATAAAATTGATGACATTTAAATTCGACAATAAATTTGATATAGAATGAATGATAAGTGGTTTTGCTGTAAGTGGGGGATTTCCGCCTTGTAAAATTGTCTTACCTGCCAACTGACCCGTGAGGAGAGGTTCTCTACTGTCACCCGATACTCTGTTCTCGTGGGTGGACCATACCTGGATAAAATATTATTTATTACTTACCAAATTTTTAGTTCTAGCACTTGTTAGACATAACATTTCCAGTAAATAGAAGTGTTTATCCCTTTATTACTTGTGATCAATACTATTACTGTAAACTAACTTTTATTTGCGACGACTTTATTTCGGTGGCTTACAGTACTTGTCAGTGATAACATTTTTATTAGGTATCAGTGATTACATTTTTATTAAGTATCAGTGATTACATTTTCTTTACATATCAGCGATTACATTTTCTTTTTTTATCAGTGATTATAGCTTTCTTAGGTATCAGTGATTACATTTTCTTTTCTTATTAGTGATTATAATTTTATTTGGTATCAGTTATTACATTTCATTAGGTATCAGTGATAACATTTTTATTATGTCTCAGTGATTATATTTCATAATTAGTGATTACAGTTTAATTAGGAATAAGTGATTACAGTCTCATTCTGTAATGATTTCTCTTACTTGTCGATCCACATTGGTCTCCTGTTGTAGCTGCTGTCTCTGTAGTAACTGTCCCCCCGATATCCTCCCCCTCCCCCGCCACCACCTCTGACCGTCCCCCGGGCATGTTCAACTGACACCCTGCAAAAGTTCACCCATTAATAATTCTGTAAGAGTAAAAAATTTATTCTTATCGACATTTATATTTTAACACACATGCAGTGCAGTTCCTTCGTTACAACTTCATGTACTACGACAAGGTAGTTTTAATACCAATATTCACAAATTAGTAGTTCTGTAAATTAAAGTAAAACAATTTTTCTTATTGATATTTATATTTTAACAACATGGAGTGAAGTCTCTTCATTACAGCTACTTATGAGATGACAATGCAGCTTTAATGCCATTGTGTTCGTATGATAATGATACCTTTCCCCACAAAGTTCTTTCCCATTCAATTCATACACTGCATCTTCGGCATCCCTGCTGTCATCAAACTCCTGTAATGAAGAATTAAATTACCTGCACATCCAGAAAATCAAAAGTACATCAAAAATACGATAAAAATGCAATGCAGCTGACTCAAAGCAGATATGCGAAAAAGAATACTTACAACAAAACCATAACCATTTTTCAGCATCACGTCCCTGATTCTTCCGTACCCCTTGAAGAACCTCTCCACGTCTCTCTGCCTGGCATGGTAAGACAAATGTCCAATATATACTCTGGTTCCCATTCTTACCTAGGAGGAAAAGAAATTGTTTGAAAAATTGACATAAAAATTCACCGAATCTTTATATTAAATTGTGGTGGGAGGCAGGGTATCCTAGACAGAACAACTATTGTTAAAATGATATTGTCCTACAGACTAGGTTTAACGATAAAATTCGTTCCGTGTATTCGCAATGTAGCAAAAGAAACACGAGCGATAAGTCGTACTCATAACAATTACTATGAACAATCCAGAGAGTTCCGAATGTAAATATGGCTGGTAAATTTGAAGTGAGAGAAAACATTGAGAAAATTAATTGTTTTAAATAATTTGGTAAGTTATTTCCAGTGCAAATCCTTTTATATTCTTCAAAATCATTTCTGAGAGCATCCGCTCCGATTTGCTACATTGCAAGTATATGGGACGTATTCCAACTGCGGTGAGGGTTTGTACTGAGACACAGTTAACAGGTCCGGCACAATGTCTTGATTACGCTATATAGCTTGATTTACTACACAGCTTTATTAAGCTATTCGGAATAGCTTGATTAAGCTATTTTATCACACTTTTTTCTAAAATGTTTTATTTTTTTCAGCATGTGCAAAAAGTCACACCTTGGTGCAGTGGGAATATTAAACTTTGAACTCTTCTGAATACAATGCATGTAAAAATCACTCACCAAACTGCATCTCCTTGAGCAGTCAATTTAAAACAACAAATCTCATAGGTTGATACCTGTCAAAAAGTACTTCCAGTTAAAGACCCAATTTTTTTACTGCATCTTACCTGAGAGCAGTGATTGGGAAGGTAACAGTACACAGGAAGTTGTGTCTGCCACACGAAATAATTGAAATATTTCAATATAAAATTTATTTATGAATACATAGTTATAAAGAAACATTGTTTTTATATTTTAAAAAAAATGACAAATTAAAGAAAAGAACACAGAGTTTAAACTACAAAGAAGTGAAAAATGGTGCATTAACATATACAATCAATCATGGCGCCCATTTCCGGTGTGTGTTTAAAATTTTTTTTATTGTTTGCATTTCTTCAATTTATATTCACTTTTTAATTTCGAATATTGGGTATTGACAGATGTTATTTGGAAATATTTTGGTATAGTTGTATTCTTATATACGAAGATAAAACATAGGATAAATGAACTTTTTATCTGTGCCTTTTGTTTTACTTTTTATCATATTCCAATTTGAATTTTGAATGCAGTCAATATCGCCTAAAACAATATAGCAAAAAAGCAAATATTTTATGAAGTCTCATCTCAATTGTTTTTAGCCAAGTTTCTTTTTTTAACCCCCGTGTATACAAGGCGGCTTCATGAAAGTGTTTGACGCGTGACCAGGCAATCGTTTTCAAAGGACACAAACTTATCCACGTTAATCAAATCAGAAGCTATTGTTTTTTTAATGATTGACAGGAGGTAAATTATTGATCTTGAATCAGGTAGATTTTGGGGGCGTTAACATAAAATTGGGTGTTTAAAGGCAGAGATTTTTTACCCGGTGGTAAATTCCAGGTGAGGGAGGGGCTTATTTTGTACAGGTGTGAATGCCTTAGGGGCTAGCAGTCTACCTGTGGCCATCTGTCTCCTAATCCCTATACACAGGAAGTGATTTAATACACAGTGAAATACCCAGATGTCAAACTTTACCTGTGTTGGGGATTTTGAGACAATTTTAAAATTAGTAGTAAAAAGTTTTTTCAATATTATTTTGATTTATTTTTTACTCTTTTAAAATACCCCTACCCATTTAAAAAAATTATTATTCTATCATACTATAAAATAAAGATTGCTTTAGATGTTAGTGTATGTGTTGATTTAAAAAAAACTCCTGTAACAACCAGATTAGACTTTTAAAATTCATTCCTCCCCAGGATCCCAGCTATTAATAAAATGAAAAGAGAGTTGAGTTAACTATATTTCACTAAGAAAAAATATCTAGGTTTATCCTAACCTCGGTAAGATTTTGTCACCATGAAACATGCTAAAAAAGATTGCTTGTAAATTCTTAACTGAATAAAAAAGGAAAATATAGGTGACCTATGATTGGAAATATTATTTTTAAATTCAGTCACTTCACACAGTGTTGCTCTGAACTTTGTCAATAACATCTCCACTTTAGGTTTACCATTTAGCATATTAAAATTAATATTGAAATTTCATTTGAAGAAAAAAGTTTTATGTGCGAAAGGTTAATGTATTCAAAATGCATATTATATTATCATACTTTCAAATACTAAAGGTATATTTAATTCATATATTATCAATATAAATTTTCCATAGTAATTATACAGTTTCTGTATACCATGTTCAGTAAACATCAAAGGATCAAAAGTTAATTAGAAGGTCGCCGTGAGTCCGAATCAAGGTGTACAGGGTATACACAAGGACCAGTAAGTAAGTGTCAATCAAGTTCCAGCATCCATGATGGATCTTCACGCACTTGATTGACAGGGCTACCCAGACCAGGTATTTTTGAAGGCGGTTCTTAAAATCTCTGCCTTTGAACGAAGCACTTACATGAGGTACAATACTTCATTCATTTGTATGGTAGGGCTGTTCCCTTTCCAAAACTGTCATAATTTTAACAAAAAATACGGGTCTGTTATATTCTAAGCAAGCTCCTTTAAATTTGCTGCATTTCATCAGTGATTGGGAAGGGCTTGAGCCACGCTCCATACTTGCATTGAAATGAAAAATGGCGCATTAAATCAATCAATTTTGGCGCCAAGGTGCGCATTCAATTTTTAGCGATGTTATTTGGAAATATTTTGTGTACGACTTTCTTTCTTGTTTTCGTTTTAAATGCAGTCAATTTAAAACAACTAATCTCATTGGTTGAACCTCATCAAAAAGTACTTCCGGTTCAACGAAGCGCTTACATTAGGCACAATACTTCATTCATTTGTGTTGTAGGGCTGTTCCCTTTCCAAAACTGTCCTAACTTTAACACAAAATATGGGTTAGTTAGGGGTGAAACGATACGCCTCCTTCACGGTTCGATACGTATCGAAAAATTTGGTGTCGGTTCGGTTATTTTCGGTACAATACATTTTAATAGAAGGAAACAAATTCAACTGTTTTTTATATGCTTCCTTTTCTTAATCTAGTCAAATAATTTATGTGCAAAATGGATAGAAGAAATCGATTTTAATTAATTTGACTATAAAAAATTATTTTTCAAACTTTAAGTCCACAAAAATTTACGTTTTTGGACTAATTGTATGGAGGAGCATGTTTACACCTTATGCCAAACTCGACGGAATGACGATCCCGACTGAAAAACGAACCGAAAATAGAGATTTTGTACCGTGTATCGAACCGAGAAAAAATACCGCGGTGAACAGATACCGCGGTGAACCGTTTCACTCCTAGGGTTAGTTATATTCTAAGCAAGTTCCTCTAAATCTGCTGCATTGCTTGTGTTTGATGTCAGATTTGGTTGATTAAAAAGGTGTTTTTTTCTCGTGTTTCATATTTGTTTGTCACTTTGTTATTTTGTAAAATGGCCCTTCAGATTATATTGAAGGCCATTCATTTTCGAAATGGCCCATCAAAAATGTTGACAGTCCCATTGACCATTTTGGCCTTCCCAATCACTGCTTGAGAGACTTTGTATTCAAAGTTTTAAAAGTTTGGGGGCTATTGATGAGTGACCACAGTTATTTCTTGAATGAAATTATAAAGGAGGTCAGTTATGGCCAACAGGATAATTGATTGGTAACAGTTCAACACAATGAGAAGCAATCATACTTATCCACACCTCACCGCACTCAATATAATAGTGCAGTTACTCAAACAATGGAAATTCATCTTTTGCTTAAAAGTATTCAACAACAGCAATGTTAGAACTTTCTATGATTTAGGTTGTATTTTTGATAGCCAAAAGTACATATATGCATAGTCAAATACTTGCTACTTTTTGTTTATTTCTTACTAAAAAACGTTTTTGTTAAAAACTGCATATAAATAGCTTTATTAAGCTATTTTAAATAGCTTAATAAAGCTATGTAGCTTTTTATAGCGAGCGCAGCGAGCGTCGGTAAGTGTGTTTACGCTCGCATAATGTGAAGGCACCCATCTGACTATAATATTTTAAACATTTAATGCGTTGCTATATATAATAAAAAACAGAGAGAAATTCGGATTGAAATATCTGTACACATTACGTTCATGGCAAATTTCTCTGTGCAACATTTTTCCAAATTTCAGCACTAATTAATGTCCTTTTCTTATCTGAATATTGAACTTGTTTTTCAATTAAATAAATAATAACGTAAAGCATATATCAGAGAAAATTCAGTTTGTACTGATTAATCTTTAAATTCAGAAACAGAGAAAAATTAAATCTGCAATGTTTTCCGTGTTTTAATTGCATATAATAATTAATAACTGTTTCAAACACTTAAAGACGAGCTTAACCATTTTAATTTTCATTTTAAAGCTCCATATATATACATGTATTCTATATATAATGTATGTATGTATGACTATGTATATATAATCGAGATTAAATCTCATTAAAGTCTTAAATCAGTTCGAAGTGGCTGATCTCATGTGTTTTTGATGGTACATATAGTTAGGTACTTAAAAGTTTCTTCAGGCCCTCACCACAGTTAGAACGTCCCATATACTCGCAACGTAGCGAATCGGAGTTAATACGTTCCCTGTTAACGATTTTGAAGAATTTAAAATTTTTTTATTTGCACTGGGAATAATTTACCAAAATAATCAAAACAAACCTTCTTAGATTGCTTATGCCTTTTTTCCCAAAAAATAATAATTATATAAATTACGAAATAAAAGTTTTTTGTTGAACATTTTTCTCTCCATTCATGTTTATCATTTGACTTGAACTCTCTACCAAAAAAAAATTGTTCCAGTAGTAAATGTGTGAAAATCGCCCGTGTTTTTGCCTTTCATAGAATTGTAGGCATACAAACTTACAAATACATGTGTTGGAAATTTTCAAATACAATGCATTTTTGGTTTAAAAAGGTAACAGAACAGACAT